AACTTGTTGAAAATTTTGGAGACGAATTCTCCTTCCTCACTACTTTATAACGCCCTTTGTACGTTCTACATTAAGCACTTTCAATTGTGATCAAAAGTTGTGGCCTAGGGGTGAAAATGGGCAGACTGTAAAATTGGATTATGCACTCACATGGACATAATAATTAGAAGTTTTATTTAGTGTGCTTAGTATGTCTGACAGATGGCTACAATATTTGCGACTAGGTGTGACTATAGATTACTTGGCCAAAATTCAATGAGACAAATCCCCATTTTTCTAAATAACCTTAAGATAGCATAGTCCACTTATAAGAGAGACTGTCTCAATATAGTAGCGTTCTAAATTAAACGTATAGAGTGTATTACCCAATCCAAGTTTCCGTAATAGTCCTAAAAATTCTAAGACTGACCGCCTAAAAAAGAATTCTAACTTACTTTCTTTGGCTGAGCCAGCAGTTCGGCCATTTGATTTTACTGATGTAGTTTTTGGGGTGTCTTTTGGCACAACGGGACACTGATATAATTTATTGATCTGAAAGTAAAATTATACTTGTAGAAATTTAATTTGAAGAATGCAAAATTTAAAAGTAACATGAGGCTTTAGCTTGAAGCAGCTAATCTTCATTTATAATTTTGGTCAAGAAAAAAACACATTTATTCAATATTCAGATTATTTTCAACATCGGAATCACTGACAGAAGGTTGCCCTTAAAATTTGGTATTTCCGTTGTATACAATGAATAAATAAATTTAGAAAATAAAGAAATAATATATAATCTACTGAATAAAATTTGTGACAATTCAAAGTTTAAAAATGTGCGATAGTTTCCCACCACTTAAAACCAAATAAATCAATAAAGCTGTCTTACCCTTAAATGCTATGTTTCTCTTTTTTTTTGGACAATCTTTTATTCGTACAAGTTCTTTCAAAGTGCCTTTCACGAATTTCCGAATAGCATTCTCTATTCTTTGCAGACATGAATCTACGCCTAATCCCCTTCTCCAGCATGCGTAATTCAGCATCTCGTCGCTCCAAAGCCGTACCGATGTTTGCTCGACGTTTAGGCGACGGACACTCACTGTCCGCCGAGACAACGAACCGTTTTCGATTTTGGGACAGCCCCAAAAACAATGCATCTCAAGTGAACCGGTCCATAATCGCTCTACACCCGATTGTTCATAGCCCAAAAATCGATTTTAAAGGTGATATCGATTGAAATGAACATACTTTAACAATATCCAATTGCGAAAGATCATTAGCACTGCCAATCACATCAGTGAATCCCTCTTCCACTGGTTCAATAGTATTTTTACCATTACGAGAAAATGCTGTCGAGTCGTAATGCATAATGGATCGATAGTCATATTTTTCACCTTGGGTATCCTAAAAGATATTTTTCAATGGAAGAATGTCATTGTACAATATTCACCTGCAAAGCTGCTGAGATTTTGTCGAATTGGGAAGCCATGCCAGGGAGAATATTTTCCCAAAGGATGTTAATATGTTCGTCCCGATCTAAAATACTACAAGAAAATATCATGAATGGATAAGGATCATTATATCAATAAATCTTTAGGAAGTATATACGTTCAATATATAAGTTTCAAAATGAGTAAAGGACACTCAAGATGTTCTTGGACTGGGCTGTAACATTTTATTTTGGATTTATACAAAGAAAACTATAACGGTTAATGCTTTTCAAAACAATTCAATAACTTTTTTTTTCAAACCAAGGAAAATATGGAATTTTAAGTCTTTGGAATAGTCTGCAGCATCTAAGGATTACCAACCAAATGTCAAAACCATACCTGCTCGACTGTGCTCATGCCAAAATCCCACAGAATGCATGAGTTCATGAACGATGATCTCATGAAAGAGACATCCCCTGCCCAATGATATCTCCTGCTTTCCACCTGTTCGTCCTACTTGCGAGTAGCACCTAAGCATACATGTAAAGCTTATTCCTGCCACTTCATCTTAAAAGTCAGATTAAAAATTTTCTCACCCAACTCCTTTTACAATATTTAGAAAATCTTTTTCGCCATTTCTTTTCTGGAAACGTATGCAGGTACTTTTATGGTAGCTAGCGAATGCCTGTTCCAACAGTTTCGTCTCATAGTCAGCTGAAATTGCGATGAATAATTGCATTAGCATGACTATCATAGCATACTAGGTTGTGGCATGTTTAGTTTAAGTTCAGGTTAAATCTTATACGTAGGTCATTTCACCTATAAAAATTCACATATATTAAAAAGTATAAAAGCCCCGACAAAAAGTAAAAAAAAACGAAATAAAAAAATTTAAAAAATGCGGAAACATAAAATGGCCCGTAAGTTTCTACGAACAAGTTCGAAAAGAAGAAGAAAAGAGTATAGCAGCACTAATAAAGAGTAAAATATTTGTATAGATAGTGTAGAATTGCAGTGGTGAGCATAGTCTTAAAATAAAGAAAGAATTATTTATTATTGAAAAGACAAAAGGTTGTTAGATATCCTCGATCATCAGCTGACAGAAGATCCTTTTATGAATTTGTGAAACTAGAACCCAATGAAACTCACGTACAGAACGCTGGATCCATTTCGTAGGGGATGATTCCATTCTTCCATCGCAATTGTTTGTTCTTTAAAGCGTTAAAGTAGACAAAGCCGTCCTGAAAGATCATTTAGAAATAATTATAATGAGCTCCTTACATAATGAAGATAATGAATATCCGTTTGCAAACCCTAAGCATCGAAAAAAGTCATTGTCTTGCTGGTTCAAAAATTGTCT